ACAACCTCCTCCTCCACCAGCCTCGGCCCCTCAGGCACCGCTGCAGAAACCTGGGTTCCTGGGGTTTCTGGGATAGCCTGCAGCTGGACATCGATATGCTCTGACTCGTTGAATCCTCACAATCTGATGAGCTTTATTATTAATGTCACCTTATAAGTGAAGAAAGCCCAGCCGGGAAGGAGTAAATGATGTATCCAAAACTGTGAAGCTAGTAGGTTCAAAGGCAAGGATTCACACTTGAATCTGTCAGACTCTAAACCCACTTCTTTCCACATCACCTGCCTCCACCATAGCAGACATCATGGCTAATATTTAGACACATGTTTGGCTCTTTCCGCCTAGGCTTGCCTGACTTAGACAGTATTGTGTCCTCTGCTAGGCGTGTTCTCAGCTCTCCAAGGCCATCAGAGGCCTCATCCCAGGGCCTTGCAGCCAGCTCTGTTGGACCAAATAGCACCAAAGAGTAACAGTGAAAATAGCTAGCAATGTGGTGTCTTTATGTGCTCAGCTGTGTGCTAAACACTTTAGGTGGATTCTGCCATTTATGTCTCACAGCAGTGCTGTGAGGTATGCACTATTATTTTAGTACCTCATCATTTTGAAGATGAGAAAACTGCAAAGATTACAAAATAAGGTAAAGCAGCTCGTAAGTGGTAGAGACAGGATTTGTCTTGACTACAGTGTGTGGTGGTGTCTTTTTCCTCTTAATGTCCCTTACTGGTAATGAACCTGACACCTTAGCATCCCAAACCCAAACCTTTCCAAACTCACGACCATGCTCGTAGTGAACTGGGTCTTTTCCCCCTGTTTTTACCTGACCTTACTCTTTTTTGATAAACTAACTCCTCCTGGGCAGTAGGTATTGTAGCTTAATGTGTTTTACCTCCTGGGGAAACAAATTTGTGCTTCAAGAGGAACCTCCAAAGAGGGACCGTCTTTACCCACAATGTACTGAGTAATGGTGGTGACATCAGGCACCACCCAAACGATGATGGTCTAGCTATTTTGGGCCCCATAAGCCTTCTTCACGGAAGCATCATTTTGACCAACAGGGATGTATGTTAAACTTGGTTAACCTTGATTGAGTTTAAACCATGATCTATTGAAAGTCAAGGATTATTTTAATGCCTGATCTTTAAAAGGGAATTAGAAGATGCCTTTTAGAGTTCATTTAAAACACACACACACGAGCATTCTTGCTTCTTACCTTTGAGGACCAGCTTGCGTTAGGAATTTTACACCAGTAATAAAGATCCAGACTTCAGCAAGTCCATGGAGCCTTGTCTGATCTGAAAGACACCTATGGGCCAAGTCAGAACCTTCCTGGAAGATGAATTATTTCAGGGCTCTCCTGAGAGTTTCATAATTAATCTAGCACTATTCATTTACTCCATAAATATGTTTTGTACACAGGCACTATATTAGGTTCTTGGGTATATTTTTGACTATCGCCACTCTATAAAAAGACTGTATTTATCTCATAATGAGTGATATCCCCCAAATCTCAGATTTTAAGTTCTTACAAAGGTCCACAGAGTGTTCTGTATACCAATATATTCAATTAGACAATTATTCATATTTTCAAAGATGATAGTGATGAGTTCCTGAATTTGAATCAGTCTCCAGTGAATGTATGGTGTGAAGCCCTTTGCTCTCTTTCAGCTGGGAGTTTATCTGTTGTCATGTGACATGAAAATGGCGTGGCCTATGTAACCTGGATGTCCTACTTCTTTATAAATGATAAATGAACATGCTTGTTAAATATCTGGAAGACACAAAGCTGGGAATGGTAAATGGAAGCCTAATGAACTGAATGAATAGTGATGATGTCAGTAAATAAGAGCACTGTGCTAACACCAACATGTTGAACTTAATAGAAATAAATAGAAAGTCCTGCATTTAATTTTTAAAATTCAATAATGTAGGTTCAGGGTAGGAGAGAGCTCTAATTTTCATATTTAAAAAAACCCCAACCTGCATACTTTTTCATTAACCTAACCCTCCAATTGCTGAGTACTGGCCACCAGGTGGACACTGTGGGATCTGACCACCAGATGCATCTGCAAGTTAATTAGCCAATAATGTGCAACTCAAGTGAGAAAATGTTCCCACTGACTTGATCTCATTGGGAATAGACATAACACTCCAAGAAGGTCATAGTTGATAAAATAGCCTATAGAAGAGAGAGACTAGACTGGTGAGTGACAGGGAAACCAGACTGGATGGAAATATTGAATGGTCACAGGATGTTTAGTCTAGAGAAGAAAAGAGTATGGGACTTTGATGGTTGTTTTCTAGCATTTAGGGAGCTATTGTGTGACTACAGGAGGAGCCTTAAGCCTTTTTGGGGTTATTTTGGTTCATCCAATGGGGTGACAGTTAGAAAGGGATGGATTCATTTTGATGTCTTCATGCTTTCCTGCCAACTTTGAGGAAGGCTGCCCCTGAGGAGCCTCAGCCGACAAGGATTCCAGCAGAAACCGGCTGACCATCTGCCACGGGGACTGCTCTCTCTGCAAGGCTAGCTTGTGTGGGCGATTGACATGAGTGATCTCTGAGGATCTCTTCGATGTTAATTCTTCCATTTTTATTTTTCAAGTTAAGGGGGAAGTAAAACTTTTCATGTACCTTCCTTAAGCCTTCAGACACCCAAGGATTTTGCTAGCCTATTACTAAGTCCACTTCCTCATCTTCCCCACCTTCACTGGCTGAGACAACCTTGACTTAGTTAACGGAACGTCATAGAAAATACACTCCGAATGTTAAAATACACTGCTGACCCATTTGTAATAGTTATGAAGACCTAGACTCTGTCTCATTCATTCACCAGTTGGACATGTAAATACCAGTGATCATCAGAACAGACAGGAAGGAGGAACGCTTGCCTCAATTGAGCTGAATAGAGGAAATTCACAAGACCAGAGCCCATGAGACCCATTAGCACATTCAAGGCTCCATACATCTGCAGTTCAAGGGGGAGGGGTAATGGTGCCCTGAGCTGTGTGAGTGCTGGAGGGAGGGAGGCAGGTACCTCTCAGTCCCTGCAGCTGCCCTAAAATTTACTGTGGCTGTATCACTCGAGCTTCCCTGTCAATCTTCCAGACACCTGCTGTGTTCTAGGTGTGCCCAGAGGTCACCATCCAGCTAAGAGGAAGATTTACCACAGCCTCAGCTGCCCATTTCTGTTGCCAACTTATGACCAAGGAACACATGGCCAGAAAGTTGCCTTCAGTACAACAAAATGTACCGTTCTAGGGGGAAAGACTGATGAAACACTTCTGCCAAAAGTGGATGTCACTGGAAACTGCATATTTACCTCTTTATCTCTTACCAAATATATCACTTTGGCATCATGTAGATCTGTTTAGTTTAGAAGGGTGAGTCTTACTATCTGAATTTCTTGTATGCTTACATTTATAGAGGTTGACAAGTAAACATAGATACAAGCCCAGTTTTAGTTATTACCATTAACCAAAACCATGTTACAGTGAGGCAACATACCTTTTTTTTAAGTTGAAGTGTTTATATGATCCTATATAATAAAAGGCTAATATGCAAATTGGCCAAACAGCAGAACGACCAGTTGCTATGATGTGCATTGACCACCCAGGGGCAGATGGTCAATGCAGGAGCTTCCCCCTGGTGGTCATGTGCTCCCACAGGGGGAGCACTGCCCAGCCAGAAGCCCTGAGCCGGGCTCATGGCTGTCGAGTGGCAGCGGTGGTGCCGGGAACCTCTCCCACCTCCGTTGCAGTGCTAAGGATGTCCGACTGCCGAGGGGACCAGGCCTAAGCCATCAGTCAGACATCCCCCAAGGGCTCCTGGACTGTGAGAGGGCACAAGCAGGGCTGAGGGACACTCCCCTCCCCCTGGAGTGTATGAATTTCATGCACTGGGCCTCTAGTCTAAAAATAATTATTTAGAATGGTAACAACAGCTAAAACATTTCAAAATTAGTTGTATGATTTCAGAGTTAGGAAAACTTTATAGAACTAAAAATAGTTACTAACTGTGATGCAGTTATTCAGTAAGCAGGAAAAATAAGTAGGGTTTTATATTTCTATCTGGTAGCTCTGCCAAGCATAAGAACCTTTTATTATTATAGAGAGCAAAATATGAGATAGCTGTTTTATATATAAAAGTATAATGAGAAACATCATTATTTCTCACAAAGGCTGCTACCTTCTACTAATCCAATAACAACAGGTGTGCTGAGTAACTAGTGATGATACTGTTGATAACAGAGGGGAAACAGCAAGAACCAATCCCCTTTTTCCAACTCAGTTAAAGGCCCACCCACTATTGTATTTAGACATCAGTATGCTCTACCCAGAGACTGAGGTTGTTTCCATATAACACACTCAGACCTTTTCAAGGTAGTTGCTCTTTGTAGTTGTAGAAGGATCAACATTTCCTAGTTGAGTTTTGTTTAGTAAACCAACTTTCATCAATTTTAATCCAAGTGTATGAACCATTTTAACATGAGATGAATGACAAGACACCTGAGAAGTAATACTAACATTCCAGATGTTCATTTCACTCACTCATTGAAATAATTGAACCTTCACAAGAACCCTATGAAATAGGTGCTATAGTTATCCCACTTTAAAAAGAAGGAAACCAACACACAATAGGTTTTAAGAAACTTGTTCAAGATCCCACAACTAAGAATTGGCAGAAGAGAGACTTGAACTCAGATAGCCTGGCTGGTTTCCAAGTCCAAGTACTTAACCAAAAGGATGCACTGTCTCCCCAGTAATGGTAGGTCAGTGAAAGTAATCAAGTGTCTAGTGTGTACCAGGCACTGTGTTAATCCCTTTGTATACGTTAGCAGATTAAGTTCACCAGTTGGGTCATTCGGACACAGGTAAGAGGGACAACAAAAGATTCACCAAGTCTCCTGTTGATTGGCGTAACACCCTAGCTTGGATGTGGTTTCTGTTACTTAAGATTGCAGGCTATTAGCAGTAAGAAATTACTGTATTATATTTTCCTTGCAGAGGCGGAATGGTCCAAACCAGTGAGCAGTATGAATTTGTGCATCATGCTCTGTGCCTGTACGAGAGCAGACTTTCGGCAGAAACTGTCCAGTGATTATCTGAAGATGTACCAGGCCATCAATCTCTAGGGGTGACTAATCAGTTACCCACTTGACGCTTCTAGAAGAAGCTTCCTGGAATGAAAGAGAAGCCCTGAAGTCAAGCTGTGGCATGGACAGTGGAAGATGGCAACCCAGGAAAGATTGCCAGCCCCTTGTGTATGTGAATGCATTTGTAAGCAGCTCCTAAGTTATTCTGAAGGTCCTATGCTGATGGAGGAATGATGGACTTCTCCCACAGCTAAGCAGGATTTTGTTTTGTCTGTATTATCTGCCACCCGGAATGTATGTATGAAACACCCAGTGATACATGTCATCAGATGATGACTGGAAGAGCTGCTGAAGAAATTATTATTGTGTGTTTAGATGCTTTAATGTTTGCAAAATCTGTCTTGTGAATGGACTGTCAGCTGTTAAACTGTTCCTTTTTAAGTGCTATTATCTTTCTCAGTTACCAGAATCTTGCCGCTAAAGTTGCAAGTGATTGATAAAGGATTTTTAACAAATGAGTCCTTGTTTTTGAAAAAAAATCAAAAGCAGTAACTATTTTATATGGCAATGTGTCTTGATAATATTACCTACTAAATGTGTATTTATCAGTACCTCCTATCAATCAATTACAGAGCACAATGATTGTCATTGGGTATCTATGTATTTATTCTCTATTATTGGGCATAGAGGTGGTTGCTTCTCCAGAACTCTATTCACTGTATTTCTACATTGTGAGTCACTTTACTGTAAAAGGGAAAAACAAATTCGTAGCAACTCTGACGTATCAAGAACTTTAGATACTTGTCTCTCTTTTACTAAGAGTTTTTGAGTATGCTATCTACCTGGAGTCTCTTGCCCAATAAAAGGCAGTTGCTTTGGGCATGATCACCTGTCACTTTTCCAGAGGTTCTTCTAAAGGCTGCTGCCATGGGTATCCTTACATTTCAGAAAGGTTTTAATCCTCAAGAGACAAATAAAGCTAAAAACGACAACACAAAAACTACACTCAGCAAACACTAGATGTTCTGCTCAAATATGAATTTCTAATGCAGCTATGTTGACTTTGTTTCATACTGCCAATAAACTACTCTTAATACTAAATGTTGAGTTAAGCAGGTACTTTTTTCCTCTTTGGAGAGCGACTGTTATCTTTTGGGGGGAGTCTGCAGTAAATGATGTGAAGGGTTTAATTTTAGTCTCTGCCTCTCCCCAGGAGAGATGACTATCTCAACTGTAATACCCATTGTCATCACTTGAGGGATAATGACCTTGAAGTGCCATCATTATGTGGTTTTCCTTGAGAGACTCCCAGCACATCATTATAGGAGCAGTACATGTTTATGTCTTTCCAGCACTTGTCCTAGACCCTCAGAAATCACATGGTGTGGGTTTATTCAGCAGAAACCCATCACCTGAAGAGATGTAATGTTGGGGGAGCATTTAATTATCTAAGATTACAATTCTTTTCTTCCCTCTTGAGGTTAAGAAGTGCCAAAGGAATGGATTGGGGAGAAAACTTAGAAGTTTTATTCCATTCCTGGAGGCTGGAATTTTTTTTTCTACATAAAAAAAAGAGAGGTAATCATAATCCCTTCTTTCTAAGGAAACAGACAAAAGGACACTGGTGTAAAACTTCCCCCAAACAATTCAATAGGAGGAAGTGCTCGTCACTGACTTTCCCCCCCATGAAGGCACATTTCCTTCCCTGGTCTTTGCTTCTCTTATCTGGGAGAATTTTTCCCCCCAAAGCAAAGCATGAACAGTTGTTTAGTGGAAAATGGAGGCTGAATTTTACATGGCGCTTCTTACCTGCTTGATCTTCTGGAACCCAGGTAAGTGGGCCTGCCTCAGGGTCCTGACCCGTTTCTCTGGCAGCTGGCAGACGAGATTCTGTCCTTTGAAAAGTGCCTGAAATGAGGCGGAAATGGAGCCAGGTCTCCATGGCAGTTTAGCCGAAGATGAGGAGGAGGGGTGATAAAAGGAGCCAGGTCTGCCCACACTTGAAATTTCTCTCCAAACAAAAAGAAAAGGCCTCCTCACGGCCTGCAAATGCCTCGGCAGCTCCTGAAATGGCACCTTCACAGCAGAGAGGACTCCTGAGGAGATATTTTTATTATATAACAAACAGTCTGGGCCATTCTCCATGCTTTTGTCCAATTAGGTTATGATTTTGTATTTGTGTGTGTGTGTGTGAGTTAAAGAAAGAAAATATAAGCAATATAATTGAAGGGGATGAAGAAGTGTGGTGTGTTTAATTTGGAAGTTGCTATTTGGCAGAAAGGTCTGAATATTTTCATGGGAGCGCTGGGCAAACGAAGTGTAAGCACATTAAAAATGGTTTCTGAGCCCAGATGTCTCACTTTTTAATACTGATGTTTAATTGGGTATTTAATTTCTTATATTAAGAAATGCTGACAGTTTAATATGTTTATATTAAAGGGAAAAATTGCAGATATTGTTACAAAATAGAGAAATGATTCTAAGACTATACGAAATTTAGTTTGTGACAATCAATTCTTTCATTGGTTACTGTTTGCTAGGAAGGTGTGCTTAGAAGGATGTGAAAATTTCTTTTATTCTGGGGTAAATGCATCCAATTTTTAAATTTTTATTGAAACTGTGTAATTTATATACAAATACTTATTGCAATAATAAGTTAAGGATTGCAAAAAAAAAGGGTGCCCTTTAAAGTTGGGGGTCGAGGTGGGGTGGAAAGAATAAAATGTTTAAAAGGGAACTGAGCTTTTCACAATTTCAGCATATTTAATTGGACTAAAACCTCACACCATCATCTTTGAATATTTTTGTTTCTTTTCTAAGCTTCCTGTCAGTATTTCAATGGGGGGCGGGGGGGGGAGGATTCTTCCCTAAACCATGTGAAAGTAAAAGAAAGGGAACTAAGGGAGACATTTTGACACTGTCAGCCTTGTGGTTTTAAGTTCCATGTGTTGAGTCTGGGAATATTCACTTGTGATGATTGCAATAGCAAAAGATACGTGAGCCTGCCATTTTCACTGGGCTGATGTGTGGGCGGGTTGCTTTGTTTTCTGATGGGCTTTGTGATCTGTTACCTGGTGCTAGATGAGCTTTTCATCTTCCAGAGGGGTTTCAGATCGTCCATGTCCAGAAACAACAGTGCCTTTTCGAAAATAAGATCGTGTCCATGGGCTCGTGCAATGGGACGGAGAAGAACCAGCAGTGGATGTGGACTGAGGACGCAAAACTCCTTCACCTGAAGTCTGCACTGTGCCTGGGCATCTCCAACTCCTCTGGTGGCCCTTCCCGATCAGCCATCTTTGTCCACTGCTCCCAGGCCCCCCGATGGACTTGCTATGAGAAGACAGGGTTCCTTGAGGTGAAAAATGCCTCTCTCTTTCTCAAGAAACAAGGCACCAAGGCAGTGGTCAAAAAGGGCAGGAAATACCTCCATAGCTGGATGAAAAGAGATGTCAACAAGGAGGGAAAACCAGTCAATGAAAGCCTCTGCTTAAAAAAAGGTGAGCTATTCCTTTCAGAATCAATGCTGAAAGTTCCGCTAACTGTCCTGTTTTGTCACATTCAAGGGAAGTCTATGTGCCCCAACACAATTGCTATGGAAGATTCATAAGCTAATGGAAATGGATCATGTGGTGCCCACCAACATGGAAAACTTCTTTGTCCTCATTAAAATAAACCCAACTCTCTCTCTCTCTCTCTCTCTCTCTCTCTCTCTCTCTCTCTCTCTCTCTCTCTCTCCTTTCTTTTATTTTTTCTTTTATTAATTCAAAAATATTTCTTGAGTTTCTTTTTTGTGCCAGACACTAGGCACTCTAGTTAAGCACTGTAAAGTATGGAGATGCAGATCTAGGCATAGACAAGCATACATGTGTAATGTAAAGCCAATGATCAGGAAATTAAAAATTTTGCTGATGTAGACACTTCTGTTCTCTGCTTATGAAGAACTATTAGAACATCAAAATGGTGCCTGAGAAGACTGGAAGGATAACAAACTGTGCTTGTGCTTGTGCCTGCTACCTTATAATTGTGCTAAAGCAAGTGTTATACCTATATACATTCAAAATAGTTGTAGGTGTGGTTTTTGTTTTTTTTGTGCCACAGTTGTGCAAATTTTAACTCTGGTTTTTTTTAGAAGTCCACCCCCCTCCCAACATACATTACCAGGTATGTTTATTCAGTGGTTAACTGTAAATGGTTGATTCTATCCACTTTACTCTTGAAGTCCATCATTGGACACGTTTTGTATGAACATCAAAGGAGATGGTTTTTCCATGAATTACCTTCCATCTTGAATTCTCCACTGAACCTGTATGTACTTTTTGGCATCTAAATAAACGCAGTGGGCTCTTTTATGATAGAAGTTGAGTGTTGTAGTCCCTATTCTTATAAAACTTGTGACTATGAGAATAAAATAAAAATATAAAAGTCAGAAAAGTCAACTTTATCAGAGAATACAAGAGTGTTGTAGTCCCTATTCTTATAAAACTTGTGTCTATGAGAATAAAATAAAAATATAAAAGTCAGAAAAGTCAACTTTATCAGAGAATGCAAAGCTGTATTCCATTGTGTAAATGTACAACAATTTTCCTACTGCTCTGCTGATGGGCACTTGGGCTGTTTCCAGATCTCAGCTATTGTAAACAACACTGCTATGAACACAGGAGTGCATATATTCTCTCTGATGCGTGTTTCTGGCTTCTTAGGATATATCCCGAGAAGTGAGATCACTGGGTCTGATAATTAGTGACACTGAGCATGTTTTCATATATCGCTTGGTCATCTGTATGTCCTCTTTGGAGAAGTGTCTATTCAGGTCCTCTGCCCATTTTTTAATTGGGTTGTTGGTCTTCCTTTTGTTGAGTTGTGTGAGTACTTTATGTATTTTGGAAATTAACCCTTTATCAGATGTATCATTGGCAAATATGTTCTCCCATACAGTGGGTTCCCTTTTCATTTTGATCCTGGTTTCTTTTGCAGTGCAGAAGCTTTTTATTCTCACATAGCAGAATTTTCACTGATACAACTCTTAGGGCAAGAGAAACAAAGGAAAAAATAAACAAGTGGAGCTAAACCAAATGCCTTTTTTAAAAGAGTTGATAAGTAAATAATATAATCTAAAGCACAAATATGAATGTTGTTCATCCATAAGATGTGAACTATTTTACTAAATTCTTCAGTTAAGGACACTTTCTGAAATTTTAATTATTCCTTTTACTATTTCCAATAGTTATTTAGGCTATTATAATCTCCTTCCCTTTCACTTCACCTTTATTCTAGCCCAATCTTGTTTAATATGTTTAATTTATTTATATAAATATATATACATATAAACATAAAACAGTCTTTGTCTAAGTCATCATCTGTTTTGTTTATCTCTTTTCCATATTATTTTCCCACTTTTAAAAGGCATATTATATTTGGCATCTTCCTAGAGATAGAAAGTACCAACATAGTTAAAAATTCCTACTACCAAAATGAGTTTTATTCAAGTTATTATGTTTTCAACATGCTTGAAAATTAAAGGAGGGAAACTAACAAATTGTGTATTGTCTTTATAATAATTATACAAAATTCCATTTCTATTATTGATTATATTTGAGCCAATCACTGATTTTTTAAAATATATTCAAAATATGATCTTAATATGGTGCAGTGATTGCAAATCACCTTATAGGTAAACTATTTTCAACTTAAATGCAAAACTTTTTAGACTGGACAAGGATAATTCACCTTTTCTGGAATCATGTTCTAAGAGGAATTGTGTATAATGTGAAAACAATGTAGCAGCAATGGTACAATAAAGCTTTTTAAAAATAGCTTCAACATATTGTTCCATTGTGTGACAACTTTTCCTTGCATTTGTCAAAACACATCTTGCTCTTTCATGAACTGTAAAATATATATACCTTTTAAAGCACATCAGAATTTATAGATCTCAAAACAGCCAAAAATCTACTATTTTTATAATTTCATAGCACCCATTTCAGCAAAGAGTTCAGGAGATGGAAAGATGAACTTCTTTTGATCACTTTACATCTTTCTATAATGGATTTTCTTTCCTTCCATCTATTTTATAATCTTTTCATACCCACAAAAGGACCCTAGCTGGTGTAACTGAGTGGTTAGAGCATTGGTCTGTGCACCAAAGTGTTTCAGGGTTTGATCAAGGGTATGTACTTCAATTGCAGGTTTGATCCCCAGTTGGGGCATGTGCAAGAGGCAACCAATCAATGTGTCTCTCTCATATCAATGTTGCTCTCTTCTCTGGCCCTCCCCTCCCCCACTCTCTCTAAAAATCAATGGGAAAAATATTTTCCAGTGAGGATTAACCAAAAAATAAAAATAAAAATACCCACATCAGGAATAATTAAATTTCAGTTTTTGCTTGTGGTGTGTATGTGAATAAAATCATATACTTAGATGTATATTAGAATCACCTGAGAATGTTGCTAGAAATGCAGGTGGTGGGTCCCACACCAAATCTACTGAATCACAATTTCTAGGGGAAGGGCCAGGCTCCAAAGGTGATTCTGATGCCTACCAAAGGCTGTGAACCACAGCTTTAAATTTCACAAAATTTGGAAACAATGTTAAACTAAAACTTCTTTCCTGCTTCTAAAATAGCACAAGTTAAAAACACAGGCGCCAAATGAAGGGGTACTTAACTTGGATATTCTGTAGATTCTTTCTTTGGAAAAAGGTGGTGGCCTAAAATGGAAATGAACTTGTTTGGTTAGGGGTGTTTTATAAATAAATGTAGATGGTTAATTAAAGACAATTACAGAAGACTAGAAATTTTTCTGTAAGATATTTCAAAACCAAATGCAGTGGTAGTAAGCTGTTATTCACAGAGGACATTTCAAGAATGTTTTGATCATTTATCTAATTTTGGGAGAGTCTTATTTCATCCATTGAGTTAATTATGAAAATTGACAAATTTTTCTAAAAGTTCTTAGGGTGAGCACTTAGCAAGTGCTCCTTAGCAAGAAAGAGTAAACATAGGCCTACATGCTAAGACATGTAATTACATGCTAGGTATTTGAAAGCTGTTTTTGTCTTAACCCATCATTAAATCTTTTTTTTCCCTAAGTTCTAAGAGCTAAAATTGCCACAGGTTGTAATCAACTCAGAGGATCAGCATTGGCCAAAGTTCAAAATGACCAAAATACTAATCTCTACATACAGAAATTTTTATATCCCAGCAAAAGAAATATCTACTTAAAGGGACATTCAATTACCTAACTCAATTAAGACAAGTTTTAAGACTGTTTCGTGGAGTTGGAAGTCTCCCTAACATTATAGTTGGGTTTGTCGTGTTCAGTTGGGTTTAACACTCCAGGGATAAATAAATCCCCTGGTCTGTGTTCATTGTGCTCCCCCAAGCACAATGGCAGTGATAGTGGCACTGGATTCTGAAAGATAAAAACAAATAGAAATTAAAGGGGAAAATCTATCAAAGCCTAGATCTAGTAGAAGTGCTGTAGAGTTGACATAATCACACAACACCCAGTTATATTTAAACTAGAGGCTGGGTGCATGAAATTTGTGCACAGGGGGATCCCCACAGCCCAGCCTGCGCCTTCTCCAATCTGGGATCTCTCTCACAATCCTGGACCACTGGCTCCTAATCACTCACTGTCTGCCTGCCTGGTTGCCCCTAACTGCCTCCCCCACCCCCCACTGGCCTGGTCACCTCTCACTGCCCCCTCCTGCCAGCTTGGTCACCTCCAACTGCCCCCCCTCCAGCCTAGTCACCCCTCATGGCCCCCCAGCTGGCCTGGCCACCCCACACAGCCTGCTTGTTCAGTCATTTGGTCGTCCCTCACTAACCCCCCTGCCAACCTGGTCATAGGCAGCCACCTTTATGAGGATGTGATGGTCAATTTGCATATTACCTCTTTATTATATAGGATTTCAGATAAATGACAAATAATTTTAGTATATTTATAATATACAATATAATATAACCTTTGTAACATTATGTATTTGAGATATATTAAATATGCTGAACTATTGGTTGTTTAACACTGTAATTTAACTAGGCATCATGTGTTTTTATTTGCTAACTCTAGCACCTTATGTACAGGTTACTTTACATAACCCTCCACATCTCATGGAAAGAATGCTTAGTAGCCATAATTATTTTATTAACTTTTAAGAGCACTGCTATTTACATCTTGCTAAATTTTAAAAATACCTTTTCCATCTTTATTCTCTTTTTATACCAGATCCCCCTCTTTTATATATACATTATCATATTAAATGTTAGTTTAAATTGGAATAGAAATGAATGAGGTCCAAAAAAGGGGTCAGTAAGGTGGACCAGAACTGGGAAAATGTGATGACTAATAGCATCTCCCAGAGACCTCCGCCTGACACATAGTGATTATTTAATAAATAGCTGTTTGAATGAACCAGTAAAGGAGCAGTAAAAAAGATAAATTTTCTTCTGCCCATCTCTAACCAGAAACTTTCAAAGTTATGATTATCTAATTGGGCAAGATTTTGTGGGTTTTTATATCCCGGAACAAAGAAACAGAATTTCCAAAGGATGAGCCCCAGAAATCAGGATTTTAAAAAGATTCCCAGGTTATATTAATGTGCAGCCAAGGTTGAGAACCACTGCTCTAGAGTATTGCTTCGCAAAGAGTGGTCCAAAGACCATCAGCACCACATCACCATGAACTTGTTAGAAGAGCTGAATCTGACACTGTCTGTTGAATCAGAATTTGCATGTTAGCAGGATCCCCATGAGATAGAAGCACATTTTAAAATTATAGCTAGGAAAACAATTCACAAACCAATTTTTTTAAAGTATAGTTAATTCCGCCTTGCAGAGCAAAGCTGTAAATTAATTAATCCTACCAGCTCTTAAACCAATTAACTGTTCTTCCAAAGAGAAGGAGCTCAGAAAGTAGAACTGTCCCATGATTTGGTCTCACATAGTCAGGATCAGAAACAGTTTGCACTATGGTTAAAGAAATGCCGTTAATTTCTCAAGGAATTGGCAATCTTCGTGGCAAAGTTCGGCAAGTCATTAACAGTGATTCTCAATCTGCTACTTTGTTTAATGACAGAAATTGTGAAAGTCCCACACAGAAGAAAAGTACATATGTTCATATATGCAGAATTTTGCATGAGGCTTTTAGAGATTCATTGAACCCCTGAAACCAAGTCAGCGAACCCTAATGTTCACAGAGTGAATTTAATTCTTTCTCCTACACAGAGCTGGGATGTTGTTGCTAGATAAAGATGGGCGAACTGAACAGGGCAAATGAGCATGGTGATACTCAATGTATCTCTGATTTTTCATATAACTAAAGCTTATCCACACATCCGTCATTAAAGAGTCTTCTTTTTCTAAGTAAAATTGCTTTTGTGCAAAGAATCCATAAAACATGAGGGTAATTTTAGCAACTGTCCTTTCTTTACCTCAGCTGGCCTGGGAGCAGAATTTTCAGTAAGGAGCATTAGGAACACGTCTCCTCCCCAAATCCCCACTGCGTTTAATGCTGCTCCGTACAGCCCAGACCAGCTCATTAGCAATACCACAGAGGCCTTCACCAGAACTACTCCCGAAAACTCCAGCCGAAACAGCAGCCAGGGGCAGCCCCCCAGTCTGCAGGTGACTGGAAGTACAGAAACATCATCAGTTCCCTGGACTCCTCGGCCCTTCTCCACCACCACTGAGGAGGTAAGAGGACTAGGGGTGTGGAGTGTGGTTTGTGAAGCTCTCAGAAAGCCCATCACTTGAAAGGCCTTGCTTTGTGGGGAATGCCCCTATTCAAGCAGACGATCAGGCTCTCTTTGTCCCAGCTGTGAATTGTACGTGAATGCATTTTTTTTTTGTAATGAGAAAAATCTTTAAAGTTGAATGAAAAATTCTACATCTTTCCAGCATGGACATAATTAGGCCACCATGGCCACCTTTCTGAACCGAAGTCAGGGTTCATAGTCGCATGCATAACCTAAAAGCAGGAAAGAGAACTTTAAATCAGTACCCTGTAGGTCCCCCTGCGTTTATGTCACAATCACGTGTGCTCATAAATTAGGAAGGAGAAATAGTCACAAAGCAATGGAAGGTTTGGGGGTCACTCTCATTGATTTGTAAGCATGGTCAAGGGAAGCTAAGTCTCATACCAATTGCACATCAGCATCCACAGAAGGACAGATGGATCAAGTGGCCGAGCGGCTGAGATGACAGGGCATAGAGACTGCGGGCATACTGTTTCTGTTACAGGCGTTTGTCTCTTCGGTTTTGCTTTCCACTCGGGGTTTTAGGCTACCCTTTTAGGCAATACAGAATAATTAAGGCGAATCAAACACGCTAAGGTTTCATTGCTTATTAGGATAATCAATCCAAATAATTTAAAGAAAACAAAAGCCCCACGCTATGCATATGACTTGTTCATTTTACTGCTCTTTCTTCTGCTTTGTGCAGTATTTAATATTGCAGATGGTTTCCAGAGAGTGAGCCAATACTTCATTATTAATCACAAAATAAATATAGCCAGACCTTTGAACAATCATTGGGACTTTATTTTTATCTCCACTTTTCCTTTGCTCCAAACCAGCGGTTCTCAACTTGTGGGTCGAGACCCCTTTGGGGGTTGAATGACCCTTTCACAGGGGTCGCCTAAGACCATCGGAAAACACATATATAATTACATATTGTTTTTGTGATTAATCACTATGCTTTAATTATGTTCAATTTGTAACAATGAAAATTGGGGGGCACCACAACATGAGGAACTGTATTAAAGGGTCACGGTATTAGGAAGGTTGAGAACCACTGCTCTAAACCTTCCCTGTGATCTGGCTCTTCCCTGGCTTCTGGACACTCTCTACATCTTTAAAACTCAAAATTCACTCTCAGTCCATTTACAAAAATACCCATTTCAGGATAACCCAAACTCTAAATTCAATTTAAATGTTCGCTTCTCCTCTCTCATCATCTACTATCAGTTTGAACTTGAAGAAGTAGAAAAAGGAAGCATGTCCAAACTCTCTCACTCTCCAGCTAGCTTTTACCCACCTCTTCTCATTTGATCACTATGGTTTATGTTCTGTCTGCGCTTAGAAAGTGGAAAGGAAGACAGGAAATGGAAGGAGAGCTGGTACTTATGAATGCCGTTATGAACTGGCACTGTGCTCTCCCTCATTTTCCAAATCCAGAGCCCTCACCACTTCCTTTTGAAATGGAATGCTTCTTGGTGGCGTACTTTCTCATTTTGGCTGACTGTGCCTTAGCCAAAACTGCATTCTAACATCAGTTTAGAAGAGTATTCACTTACATATGAGCTTAAGTATTTATATTACTTTTTCTGTGCTAATGTATATATTTTTATATAATATTTATATTCTAGAGGTCCAGTGCACAAATTCATGCACAGGTGGGGTCTGGCCAGCCCACCCCAATGGGGACCCATCAGGCTGGGGAGAGGAGGGACCGTGGGTGTTTGGCCAGCCGGCTCTGCCCCCGATTGGGGTGTTGGGAGCGGGCCGCCGGGCAGGGGTGGGGGTGGGGGGCAATTGGGGCCTGGATCAGGCTGGTTGGCTGCCACAGTGCATGTCATAGCCATCGGTTATTCTGGTTGTTCTGGTCATTCCACCGTTCCAGTCGCTGGGCTTTTATATGTACAGATAATTAGGTGCATCAAGTAAGAAGCATGCTGAATAAAAACTACAATGGAAACATACATGTCTGAACACCAAAGAGTTGCTTTTAGAAAAAAATGTTTTTCCGTATTTTGTCCAGGTTTGACCTGGTAAAACAAACATATGGAGAGCCCAGAGGTGGCCGGGCTCCACTGGGATGAGTGCAGGACACCGAGCTAGAGCTCAGATGCAGGTGTGCCAGCCTCGGGCCCACCCAGCACTGGGTTACAGAGCTCAGGTGAGCCAGCCACCACAGCTGGGTTGGCAAGTTCAGGTCATGGCAAATACACTGTGGGGTTTTTTGTTTGTTTGTTTGTTTGTTTGTTTGTTTAGCCCTTTTCTAAAGTGAAATCCACTGTAACATCCATGACCTTTCCTGTGAGGCACCAGAATAACTATGCAACTGACTATCTCATGTTCCCATTTTCCTTGAGCTCAGGCAAAATCTTAACTCCATCCTGGGAAGTTGAGTGTGTAGAAGCCGTGCTCTTTCCAAAGGCAGGCTCTAGAACTGCAGTTTTCCAGGACCCTCAGACTTCAGTCAAGGCTGGCATGCCTGGTCATTATTTGATTTATCGGAAGAATTTGCTTTATAACAGTCAACTAGGAACAGCTGCAGTTAGACACTTTAAAAAGTAAGTGAGTCACTTGTGAGGTAAAATGCCTGTCCTTCCAAAGTAATTTTGTTTTTGTTTTACTCTTGATAGGATTATTTATTTATTTATTTATTTTCTATTTCATTGTTTTTCTTGGGGTGACTGGTTAATAAAATCACATAGGTTTCGGGTGTACAATTCTATACACATCTTCTGTATATTGTATTGTGTGTTCACCACCCAAGTCAAGTCTCCTCCCACTTATCCTCCCTATACCGTCTTCTACTTCCCCCACTTCCCTTACCCTCTGGTAATGGAAAGTAACTTTGAAAGGTACTCTACCCCAACACCCAGAAGGGTATAAGAGAGAAATAAAATCGTTTGACTTAATTGCTTGGAACTGTGTAAAAAGAAAATCTCTGTGTGCCAGTTGTTTTGTTTATCAGATAGCACCTAGTGTGTGAGGATGTGGGATTGGCTTCGCAGAGCTGGGCCATGAGGAAGGTAGGAACTCCACCTCTTGATGGAAAGAGCGGCAAAGCCACATGGCAAGGGCCATAGATATTGGGTGGGAGCCATCTGTGAGCATCGAACAACCCACCATTGTGGTACTATTAGTTGTATTGGTATTATTAGTATTTCACAGATAAGATGCATTAAACTTAAAGAGGTTAAGAACTTGTCCCAAGTTGGATGATTAGAGAATAGCAGAGCAATAAGAGTACACACACACACACACCTGCACCCCCAGTCACAATCTCTGACATAAAGCTCCTGTTCACACACACACACACACACACACACCTCTGCACCCCCAGTCACAGTCTCTGACATAAAGCTCCTGTCAATGAAGGTTAATGCCAAGGAGAACACAATTTGGAACCCAGCAATCACTCAGTAATGCTACTGCAAAGTTTTCCTAAGTTGGCTCTTTTTATAGCAGAATTTTTCCTACTTTTCTCCATTAACCTCTTTCCTCACATCTTTACCTGCAGTGTTAGGGATCTATCTTTGGAAGGTTGTAGATTTGGGCCAATATTTGGCTTCAAAAGTCTCTCTCCTCTCTCTTTCATTCTCTCACCCTCGACATGAACTAACATATAGCAGGTGCCTGGAAAATAGGGTTTAATTACTGTTAGCTACTGTTCTTATTGTTGTTACCATTGTAAGAGTATAATGTGGCTGTGTATGTCTTTACATGGACAAAGTTGGTGGAGCAAGAAGCTTGTCTGTAGTATGAGTGAAGAAGCATATAGATCAGTGGTTCTCAAAGCATGAACCCGACCCAGAACTTGTTAAAAATGCAACCTTAGGGCTCCACCTTAGACCTACTGAATCAGAAATGCTGTGTATAGAGCTCAGCAACCGTGTTGTAACAAGCCCTCCAGGTCACACCGATGCACTTTTAAATTTGAGAGCCACTGATCTAGATAAATTTGGTCCCAGACCCACAGTATCTCCTCCATGGACTTCTAGTGGCTTAGTTATCTACCATTGAGGGTACTTTCTGTGTTATTAGATTATGAAAGGATAAGGAGGGTAATGCTATAAAATTTAAATAGTCAAATATCGGAAATTCATGTATCTAATTACAGTCTCCTGCAATTACTTTCTAGAGTATACATTCTTTAAGGAATGAGGCTCAGGTTGAGTAAGTGGAGCCTAGGAAGATAGGGAACTGTTGCTAGGTCTTTGTGTTACTTAGAAAAAGATGTTTTTAGGCACACAGTTCCACCATGAATGCACAGGACTTGGTAGTGGAACATGGGCTGATTTCAGCAGCCAGTCAGCCAGCATCCTTGTCTGCCACCTACGTGAAAGTATACCATGTCCTTGTGCACAGACCCTGTTGCAGATAAGGCCAGATGTAGGTGTCAGAACATGCCCTGCATAGACCAGCCATTCCCTATGGGCCAGGTGAGACAGGCCAGGAAGTCCATCTGTGGGAGCACATGAGTGATGGTGTAGGACAGTGGTCGGCAAACTCATTAGTCAACAGAGCCAAATATCAACAGTACAACGATTGAAATTTCTTTTGAGAGCCAAATTTTTTAAACTTAAACTATATAGGTAGGTACATTGTTATTAACTTAATTGGGGTACTCCTAAGGTTTAGGAAGAGCCACACTCAAGGGGCCAAAGAGTCGCATGTGGCTCGTGAGCCGCAGTTTGCCAACCACAGGTGTAGGAGGAAGAGTTAAAGGTGGAGAAGTGGCCTCCAAAGAGGGGGAGGACAGGCCCTGTACCTCACTTCAGCTTCAAAACCCGATGAGCCTCCAATCTAGGTCCTCTCTCAGCCAAGTGACCATGGAGGAGGTGGTAAAGAGCCAGGGCTCTGGTGTCAGAGAAACCTGGTTTAAATCCTAATGGTGTCATCTCCTAGTTCAGAGGTGGGGAACATCGGGCTCGAGGGCAGTATAAGGCCTGAGAAATCATTTGG